AGAATTGAGGGCACGGCAGAAAGTTGCACTGTATGACCAATTTCCGATATGCCCCGGTAAGCGTCCTCCCAGGGCCAAGTGTACAGTGGCAACTGCCACCAATGGGCACAGGGCACACGGAAAGATGCAAGGTAACTGTGGGGGCATATGGATTTTTTTTGGGCGTGTACTCAACGACAATCCGGTAGGGGCATACTAGAAATTTAGAACCGGTACCGGTAGGGGCATTTTGAACACATATCAGGCCCAAACGGCACTGGGGGTCTTTAGTGAACTCGAATCATTGCAGAGCGGCACCACAGGGTTTGGGCCTTGCCACACCACTCTTGAAACCCGGTTCTCAAGAGTTGGAGCCGTCGCCACACAGCCACTTGAGAGTTGTGGCCCGAAAACTCTTTCGAGAGTTGTCAGAACCTCATTTCGAGAGTAGCTCTCAAAACTCCTAAACGCCCAGCCTGCAGCACCGCTCTTTTCAAGCGTCCTCCCGAGGGCACTGGAAGGACTCTCAATTTTCGAGAGCTGTCAGGACGTTATCCTGAGGCCATTCGGAAAAAAACAAAGCTGTACGACTGTCGTTTGCATTCTTTGGGCCTCGCCACACCACTATCAAAATGCCTTTTTTTTTTTCGACAACTGTCAGAATATCTCGATAGTCCTGCATTCGATAGAAAACCCCCCTTTTGCCAGACAGCACTATCGAATCGTACGGGTATAGAATGTTCTCCATTCCGGGTCCGCATTCGATAGTGCTGTGTGGCGACCACGCCTCTCCCGACGAATTGCTTGGCGTTGCTACTGGAGTACCTGGAGCCATCCGATGTCCCATGGGCCACTCCGATGGGCGCCTTTCCGGACCACGATTGCCACTGCCCTCTGGAAATTCGATTCCGGACTATCGAAAAGAAAAAAAAACAAAAACTGACGTCGTCAGCATGAGGGTTGTGGCGGCTAGCGCGTGCGTGGGCGGTATTTCGATAGTCCGGAAAGGAGGCTGTCGAAAAGAAGGCCATTGCAGGCGGGGCGTTCACAGTTTGTTCGATAGGGCTATCGAATTCCGATGTCTGACACCTATAGAAGAATTTCAAAGCTGTATTTTTCGATAGGCTGTGTGGCGATGCGAAACTCACTAAAATTCATGTTTCTATAGTGGTGTGGCGAGGCCCTTTGTCCAACGCCATCCCCCTTTCGAGAGTGCTATGTGGCGAGGGGCCCGAAACTCTCGAAAACCCAACTCTTGAGAACGTCTGACAGCTCTTGAAAAATTTCCCCGTTTCCAGAGTGGTGTGGCGAGGCCCTTAGTGGGCGGTGTGAGGGGCATGCCGCAAGTTCACGGATTTCAGAGGGGCATTTCAAAAACAAATTTTCAAAAAAGAAAGATAATAAAAGAGAAGAAAAAAACGACTTTTCTCAGTGTGCCCTCCGCGAAGTTTCCCTGCTGCCATCACAAAGGGCAGGTGCATGATCTGCAAGTGGATTGAAAAACGATAAGATGGGATCTTCTCACGTGCTTGTCGCATCACAAAGGGCAGGTGCATGATCTGCAAGTGGATGGAAAACCGATAAGATGGGATCTTCTCACGTGCTTGTCGTTTTTAGTAGTATGTTCCCTGCTGCCAGACAAAGGGCTGGTGCATGATCTGCAGGTGGATGGGATCCGACAGGAATGAGGGGAAGAAGGGGCATTCCGAAGGGCCTCGCTCCCGCTACTCTCGAAATGCGCAAAACAAGAGTGAATCTTCCGCTACAACTTGGAGAGAAACACCGCGGCAAAAAAAAAAAAAAAAAACACCACGGCCATGATTTTTGTCTTTTGTGCATGTCGAGAGCAGATTCGGGCCGTTTTTCTTCCGCTAATTTTTTTTTTGATCGGCATGTCCTCTCGACACTGGGCCTGGCTGCAGTACTCTCGAAATGTGCAAAACAAGAGCGAATCTTCTGCTAGAACATGGAAAGATACATCACCATGATTTCTGTCTTTTGTGCATTTCGAGAGTAGTGCAGCAAGGCCCACTACCAGAGAGAAGCTTCTTTCCTCCTTCAACCGCCCACACCCACTTCACAGCAGTTGCCTGCATTTTTGTGATGTCGATGAACTGTGCTGGGGGGACACAGGCAGACTTCACCTCCGGCTCTGTATGAAGGCGCATTAACGGGCACTCTGCGTACACTGCGCTGCGATCTGCTTACTAATCGTGGGCGGTCCCGCGGGAGCTGCGAGAAGTGGCGTCGGCTATCTCTTCTTCCACGGCATTTGAGCCGAGGAGAGGGAGCTCAAGGGGTGACTGCAGGCGAACAGCTCCGGGAGCGGCGAATTGGGGAGGGCGGTATCTGCTGCCATCGCCGGAAGAGCTCATCTGTTGCTGGGCGCGCGGAGACATGAGCAAGGTGAGACGAAAGGCGAAGACGAAGAGGATCAGGCACACGGTTTTCCAGTCCGTGTCTACGATGGCGGCGATGGTGGTCCTGCTGTTGCTGGCGCTTCTCCAGCTTGCCGTTCGTGGACTTGCTCAAACTCCGCCATCTGGTACGGTAAGGGTCGAGAGCTTCAGCTATAGTGGCTCTGGCTGTCCGCCTGGAAGTGCAGAGGGCGCACTCTCCCCCGACGGAACGGGACTCACTGTAATTTTCGCCGAGTACAAGGCGTTCACCCCAGGAAGTCCAGATGACCAGGTGAAGAAATGCCAACTGGCCGTCAAGCTGATCTATCCTACTGGGTTCGCGTTTACTCTGGAGAGTGTGACAGTCAAAGGGAGCGCCCATTTCGAGGAAGGCGTCAAGGGTTCACTGGAAGTCGGGTACTACTTCTCAGGTATCCCAGGGGCAGTCAGAACCCTGCGCCGCTTGCCACCTCCCGTCGACGACATGTTTGAGTTCGACGATGACTTCTTAACCTTTATCTATGCACCGTGTGGCAGTGAGTCGACGACGCTCAATGTCTATTCCGAGGTAAGAGTAGTGCCTCCTCCCCCGCCGAGCAATAACAACAAGGGCTTGATCATCATCGACGCCCATGATTTTAGTCTGCGCTGGAAGACGTGCTAAAGGGAATACTCGTATTAAAGCGCTTCTTGAGCATCTGGCGGCAAATGCAGCGAGATCCAGTTCAGAAAGTCGTGCTGTGAGCATGGCCTAAGCTGATTTAACCAGGCGTCAACAACTGGGGGCGGCGGTGGTTCGACATCAACAAGCTACATGGAGAGAAGCAGAATGAGCGACCGGGAGGGGCTCAGCCTGGAGATTTGTGGATTACTCTGTCGGTCCGCTGCTGCATGGTATTGTCCGGGGCGCGTCACTGAGCGTGGTCAGCAAAGAACTGGCGACATCACCGACGCAGGCGATCGGACGTGTGTGTGTACAACAGCACTTTGCTGATGGAGCTCAATAGGAAGCCTACCCAGTTTCCACGTCATGTAATTTTTAAACCTGGAAAAGAATACGCTGGCATTTAGGACTTCCGGTGATGGGGAAGACCCCAAGCCGAGTGCGAACAACAAGGCATACTACTTAGTACTTAGTGCTCTCTCTCTCTCTCTCTCTCTCTCTCTCTCTCTCTCTCTCTCTCTCTCTCTCTCTCTCTCTCTCTCTTTTTTCACTTTTATTCGCTTGCTGGGTTGCTCTTTGGCTTGCTCCATGTGTTCGTGTGTGACGCACATCTTCAGAGTGCGAGTCGACACCCACAGGAGTATCTCGACCGTGGAGGCACGAAGTGCGATATTAGCGTGAATATGATCTCTTCTCGTAAAGAAATATTGTCTTTTCCAATGAATTTCTGGATATGTTCAAGTTCTTGAAACCGGTGCATTGTTCTCCTGTATCAACGTGTTTGCGTGTTCCCCCACAAACTGTCATGATTGGAGTGCGTCTGTGCGTAGCACGAGTTGTTGGTTCCCTTGGAGTGTATGCTTTGCTCTTCCCACCAATTGGTATGAGCCTTTTTTTGTGTTTGCGTGCACGAGTTGTTGGTTCCCTTGGAGTGTATGCTTTGCTCTTCCCACCAATTGGTATGAGCTTTTCTTTGTGTTTGCGTGCGCTGGTTCTCGATCTCATGGGGCTACTGTCTCTGAACGCTTTTTTAACGAACAGACACACTTAGCCTTTGTACTCGCTTGTGCTTCAACACCCAGCTAGTAGAAGAGTAAATGGAATTCTCCGCGAGGAATATTTTCGTTTTCCGCAAAAAAGATCAGCACGCGATCTATATTCCTCATTTTCCTTTTTCGTCTTGTATTCTTCCTATTCATTGAATTTCATAGGGAAAAGTTATAGAAGCTCCCCGCGGCATTACCTTTGTATCCATTTCTCCCCAAAATGGACTTGCTGCATTTCAGGTCCCCCAATAACTTTTCTGTTATTCTTGCTCCCCGGTCTGAGGCCGGTAGGCCGGTAGGGCCTCAGTCCGGGGCTGAGGCCACGGGAGCTTGATAACCAAGGCTCACTTCGTATTTCCAGCTGCCAGCCAACCCAGTTGCACGTGGACGATATTCGGGTTAGGTACATTCGAGAGGGCGTAGCATAGCAGGTCCGAAAATGACTTCCCGCCATTTTTGCACAGGGGGCGTTACCGGCCCAGTACGCAGCCGGAGGTGCTCGTGCCTTCACCTCACCTGGGCCAGATTCGAGAAAGATACATCCAAGAAAGTGCAAGTGTGCTGCAGGTCCGAAAATGACTTCCCGCCATTTTTGCATTGCGGGCCTTACCGGCCCGGCCCAGTTTTGCATTGCGAGCTCACCTGGGCCCGATTCGAG